ATGAATGTGAAAACATCCTTCTGGTGTCTAACTCTGCCGTGTCCGTGTATGTCTACTCACTGTGTGACGTGTTGAGGTCATGCATTGTGTCTGTGTGTGCATGTGTGTAAAAGCATGCCTGTGCGCACTCTGGTCCTGGTGTCACGTTGAGTCCAGTTGCAGCCATGTAGGTGCTACCGATGGTCTTTATCTTCTCCACTCCGCTGAACTTAGGTTTGGACAGCAGCTGAGGAGACATGAATAATACAGTACATAACACACACAGGGGGAGGAATAACACCAGCTCTCTGCCAAACACTAATACATTTCCCTGTTACTTTAGAGCATAAGCATCCGGTGTGGCTGCTTCTCAAAAACATTTTGTTTCCACATTGTCAGACAGCCGGAATTATCCGTGTGAGAGGAGTTTACCTCATCAAAGTCCGCTATGATCTCGTTGAGAAGACGGAGGCACTCCAGTCCTTCCTTATTGACATCAGACTCAGTATAAAACTCTTTGAAGTCTGGGATGGAAGCGAACATCACACACACCGACTCGTATGACTGATGATAAAGGTCCTGATAACAAGCAAGAAGAAGATAACAGCTGGATGTGTTGTACTGATCGAGCGCTGGTGAAGGAAAATTAAAGACGAATGGTTCTGTGGTTTCAACGAGGAGGATAAACCCCAGAGAGAAGATATATGAGCTGAATACCGAGCGCTGCACTGACTCTTTAAATAAATAAAATGAAACTTTAATCATCTCTGTGAGCACACTGGGTCACCGCAGTAGCAAAATAGTAACAGCATTCATCAGGGGAAAGACAGAGAGTAAGATGGATGTGAGAATAGAGAAAATGAGGGTACGAAGTGCAACCAAAAATTTACAGCGCAGGATTGAATTAAGAAGAAATGGAGGAATAGAAAGTATGTTAGGCAAGTAGGCTACATCAATTACAGCTTGTATGCAGGGACAGTGTGCAACAGCAGCAGAGCATGAAGAGTGAAACAAAGAAAATGTGTTGATTAAATTATACTGGGAAAGAAAATTAGTCATATAGCATTTAATAGCACAGTACGGAAGCGCATTGCATTCACTGGATAAAAAAAAATTTGACACCATATGCAAAAAATCTCGTAATTACGAGATGAGGAAAGGTGCCACATTGGCCACTGCTTCACTCAGAACCACTAACT